TTTTTTTTACTCATAAACCAACCTATACCTAGATAGAGGTTACGTCCAGTGATCGGGACGGCCTCTATATTGGCCAATTTCATTCAATCCAGTTACCAAATTCTTGGCAGCAAGCAAAGAGTGTGCTGGCAAGCCGCGCCTCCGCTAAAGCAATATGAAACAAAAACATAAAACTTTAGACATATTTCAACACAAAAGTTTCCTTAGTGGATACGAGACTTTACACCCACTTCCATTGGCGAATCTCCAATGGTAGAATTCGTGCTTTAATAGACCCGGTAGGTCATAAAAAATAAAAATGAAGTTGTGGGTAAATAATCCATAGGGATTGAGCCCAAATAGAGAAAAAGAACGTTGGATCACCCTGTTGCTATTAGTTATTGCAAGTTCACTTATGGTCAGTCATTATTAGCGCCGCTGTTATTTTGACATCTGAGCATGCGCAGATCGTTTACGTTCTAGAACTGACTTTATTAAAGATTGTGCCCGTCCTTAATTATGGATGTTTAAGGGCAACAGATAATGGCGACTTTACAGCTTTCGGGTGCGCTCGCCGACATTCGTATCTGTTCGAAGTTTTTTAATATTAAATATATAGTATCATCCTCATCTAAATCTTCTAAAATGGTAATTTTTAATGCCTCTTCCATATTATGTACTATTTTAACAACAAAAAGGTGAACTGTAATTTCAAATTTTCAAAATGAAGTTAGAAATCAATAAATAAGTCTTATTTTAGCATGGAACTTATTTGCCTCTAATTACGTTGTCAGTATTAGTGGCGGACGTTATAGACATTTGCAATATCTCTCTATTATTCTACCAACTGCAAAACAAATTCATAGGCGCGCGTTTATTTATTATGATTATTATATTTAATTTAATGCCTCTTTTGTGAGTTGTATACTTTACCCATCGTGACGGCATAAACACTAGTTTGCGATATGAGAGATGGATACACTTATTGCCAAAAGTGAAATCAAAATGACGACTTAGAGTCGTACTTTGTTTTATTTGAAGTCAATAATTTTCTATTTGAAGATTAACGGAATGAAAATGTTTTTATATCATTTAAAAAACTATTTAAAAAAATGGCATTTGTTATCACCAAAACTGATTAGCTTGAGTTACGAGTTAGTTTGACACATGACGTAAAAGTGTAATGTAAAGGTTTGGACACTTTTAGTAACGTCGTAGCATCTCCTCTCTTTATTCTATCTCAATGAATTTACCTAGGCCTAATTAATGTTCGTGTAACTTTGTAAAAATGCCCCCAAACTTTACAAGGTAGTCTGTTGCAGGCTACCATGTCTTTTTCACTGATGTAACTTTATTTTACCAAAAACGGCATTGTCAACTTGTGCACCCATCATATTTGTGGCGATGAAAACCTTTACATCATTGAGTTAGTATTGCTGATAGTTGTAATGGGACATAATTTTACCATCTTGTTCCACTGGTCCCATTTACCTAACGTGATGATTTCGAGAAAATTAGTAGCGATTTCGGTTATTTCAGAATTGGTTGAACCCTCGGGTAAACCACTAAGGTCAAAGTGTACTCGTATTTCGAAAATCATCTAAAATTCGTAATTTTATACGATTTCGGAGATTTCGCTGAAAGTATCATATTATTATGTAATTTCCAACGAATGATCATTATTTTGTACTTTCGAAGTTTTCTCTGGTGAAACTATATTTTTTCTTTAGAAATATTCAGAAGACTTTTTTCTCTTCTCTCTTGTTTATTTGATCCACGACCTCCTGCGTTTATATTTCGGCGCGAAAAATTGATTTCGAAGTGATTTCGTTGATGATTTTGGTTACGTTTTCGGGATTTCCGTTTTCGGAGATTTCGACAGAATTTGTAGATATTTTGGTGATTTCAAGTGAAAACGTGTCATTATTTCCGGATTGTTTCACTCCTCGGATCAGTTTTAGCAGGAGAACAGCGATTTTTCCCATAATGAGTTGCTTGGTAAAAGTTGGTCTATTCAAACAGGTATTAACGCTAAGTATGTATTATTGCTAACTTTTTAAATTGTTGTTTTTGAAAGCGATAGCATGTCCCAAAATTGTCGTTATCTTTAACGATTCAAGAATGAGCCTCGCATCAAAAGTTGAACAAACTGAAACTTCAAAAGTATAAAATCTACAGAAATTGATATTTTCTTTGGGAAGGTTAACATTTACAATTGATTAGGTATTTTTAAAAATTTTACGTGACTAAAACTAAATAGACCAAGTAGTCATTCCACCACAATTCACAAACATTATTACTACTTTCTATTATTAATTTTATAAGAAAAATTTGTATATTAAATGGAAGTTACTTTTAATTTTAATCAATTTTTAATTTCTATGATTTAGCAACATCGACTTTATAATTTGAATTTTGGTAGAATTAGAATTGCTCCAATAATAATTGTAAATCACTTTGTTTTCCCTGTACTTTTTCATCTCTAAATTACTTGTTTACCTAGTAAATCATTTTCTTAGCATTAAGAAACAAGACATCTAAAGAACGGCGCGATTTTTTACACAATACATTAATAAAATTAACAATACCTTTTTACCAATAATTATTAAATATCAATAATACACATTTATATTACTTTTTAAACATAGATTCATTTGTGGTAAACACAGGTTGTAATCGTAATTCTGTTCCCTGTGATTTTGATCTTTATACATAAATCGGCGAAATTTGTTTCGCAGGGAAAAGAAATAAGGGGATAGATTCATTCTAGGTTTAAGGCTCAAAATACAATAATAATTATAAGTCTACCCATCATTGAAAAAATAAAATAAGTAGTAATTGTGGAAATACAGATACAGGAGGATATGATGAAAAAAAAAAAAAACAGTAAAAAAGGTATATAAGGCAAAACAAAAAAATGGATGCATAGACAGAAATTATAATACAAAAATAGTAGTATAATTAATATTGATATTTGATACCATAAATTCTGATGGGCAAATAACTTTTGACAATAATTAAATTCGTCCCATCTTATCATTTGCAAAAGATAATCACAGACAGATAGATAGCAGGGTTAGTTTTATCTAATATATTTATTTATTATCCGCAGTACCTATACTATATAGCATTAAAAAAAAGTTAAGATAGTGTTAATAATATAATACATAAATGAATCTTGTGTGTTAGTAAAAGAGCCTTTATAAAGAAAATAATGCTCGTCCTAGCATCAGAATTGTTTAAAATCAATTTTCTTTTGCAACTGATCGATTTTGCTTATTTACAACTTTTTTAAAATATTTTTATACAACAAAAGAGCAATATTGAAAGATATTTTGTTACTTAGACAGTCCTGCAAAAATCTTAAGCATCTATAGACTCTTGCATTATTTTGTTTAATACTTTATTTTGCATTCTTAAAATCTAAGAATTATTGCATTCTTTGAGCATTTATTTTTACCTTTCTCATTAAAATAATAATATAGCGCCTAAAAAAGAACAGTTAGGAAATTGCCATTTGGAATTATACCTTTTATAGCTCAAGACAGCATTTTAGACGCCACAATTGAAATTATGGATGATTAAGATTTTTTTACAAAGGGAGGTTCTTAATAAAATTGCTTATTTTAAAATAACTTAACAGGAAAACAAGCAAAGAACTTTTGAAACACATCCTCATTATCTACGATAACAAGAAATACACCGGAACATACCTTAATACTAGATTTAAAGCATATTTATAATTAGCTCGTATTTACGTAATAACTTTTCAAAAAAAAACAGAAGCCTTTTCTAGGCTTATACAAACAAATACAAATCCAACAGACTAGATTCCACACAAGTGTCCAAAGCAATCAACTAAAATGTTCTGACGAAAAACAAAATACCGTTGGCCATTTTTTTTAAATAGTTAATTTGTTTTGACTATAATTAGATATTTTTCCTTATAAAACAAACGATCTGTAAAATGGCCAACAGTGTTTACGCTTATGCACTTTCAGACTCATAACCTCTCTCTGTAAAGTCAGATACGCTATTTGTTAAATTGAAATATAAACGATATAAAAACTTTCAATATGAGCATATTACGATATGAAAATTTAACATAAGGCATTTACGGAAACTAAGACTAGGTTAAATTGATAAGTGTCAACTGATATCAGATTAACTCTAAAAATGTACGAACGCATAAAGGTTAGAGAATATAGAATTTGAATTTTACACTGTGGCATGTTGTCACACTTCCAATTTTTCTAGTGCGCTATATATTTTTTAAATTCTAAGCTTAAATTTTATATTCCAGTACCTCACAGATGATTATCAGACATAAGATAACCTCAGAATCTTGACAGATGTATTCATCCTGCTGGCGAGAAGGGTGAGTAAGATCAGATCATAAGGTAAAAATCGAGTTAATCAGATTACTTTACGAACACAACTAATCCAATAAGAATTTAGTTTTCAAACAACAAGATTACTAATCTAAGTGATTGAGTTAATCGGATAACACTTTCCGTAAGTCCTTATATTCTAATATGTCAAAGTTAATAACTATCAGATTTGTCAAATGTCAATAACAATCAGGTTTGTCAAATATCAGTAACTGTCCATTACCAATATTATATTGAAAATATTTAAATTAAAATTAACTTCGCCCTTATTTTTGGGTATTGTCTAGTATTCCTTTTATGTTTTTAAATTAACATATTTGTATCTCCTGATATAAAATTGGTTTTCATTATAATATAATATCAAAATAAACGTTTCAACACTAAATTGCAAAAAGACAATTTGTAATGACAGTTAGCACTAAAGTGATAATACTGATATTGGTTTTGTTTATTCTAAAAGTAAACAGCCAATTAACATTGACAGTTTCAATATTGAAAACTTATCTAGGTTAAACATTTGACAACAGAAGAAAAATAACTGTCAACTATAGCAATTGACACCTGTCAAAAGATATCGCCCATACTATTATATTTCAATTTAACGTCATAATCAAATTCAGCGTACTGTATTTACTCAATGGCTTTCGACATGAAATCGATAAATCTTCTAGCGTACTGCTCGGGATCACAGGTACTGATTCCGTCAACATTCGAACCGTATTTGACGGTCTTGGCGGCTTTTGCAGCCTGTTTCTTGACCCCGTAGTGCGTCAGCACATCGATAATGGCGATAAAGTAGATTTCTTTGACTGGCGCCGCTTCCGAACTGGGAATGGCGTAAATGTCTAATTCTGGAATGATGCCACCTGAAAAAAAGCAATCCGGCGCATGCGGTTATTTCTAAAATGTGCGAATATAGGTTTTTTTTAGATTGTGTATACAATATGTATCGCCTATAGGCATGAAACTGAAGCACAAGACGGCAATAAAGCTTTTAGGAAAGACTTAAGCAGAAATATGTCCGAATTTTTAGAACCAATTTTCCATTTTTCAAATTTTACTAATATAAATTCACTGATTAAATAGTTTTTTAACAATTGATGAAAATGTGTGTATCTGAATGATTAATAATAGAAAATCAATCGGGAAACAATACAATCTATTATTTAAGAAAGATCAATCACAAAACAACTCCATATTTCAGAAAAAAGCATGAAGGAATATAAATGATTAAGAAGCAAAGAGAGGTGGGTAATATTTTATAGGTAAAACCAGGTTTATGGCAAATCATACCACAATAATGGCTTTAGACTAATATTTAAAAACTGTATGATCATTTTTGTTTCTCATTTGTTATCAATTAATTTCTGGTTCATCTGTTCTTTATTGGTGTATATTCGGTTATGAATATGAGTAAGATAAACCTGTTCGTACCTATAAACACTAATCACGAAAACTTTCAGTCACATCATTTGGTGCGTGAAAAATGTAAACCAACTAACCAAATGCAGTTAAAAACCAACACTATTTCTATAGTTGAAAAAATATATTAAAAGCTCAATCGAAAGCTATTGCTGGTTTGGAGTTAATGTTCTCAAAATGTCAAAAGAATTTAAATGTCACTCTTTATACCTGACAGCCTTATACGTTTACGTTTGGGTTTGAGGTACGGATATACTTTGTACAGTTTGAAAGAACCTAAAAAGCACAAACGTTTAAGTTTATGTTTTATTTGTGAAGAGAAAATTAAATTAAAAAATAAGCTTACATACATATTCCAAGTTAAAAATTTACTGAATTTTCATAATTCCCGTTCAATATAGAAATAAATGAATATTCAACACTGCTTAAATTTATATTTGCCAATTAGTAAAATAAAAATAATTTTACTTACAAAGCATTACATTCAAAAGAAACTACAGATCAGAAGAAGACTAAAAGTTCTTTAACACACATCTGAAGTTTGTATGTAACTAAATGAAATTTTAATTTTGCTTTATAATTAGGCATTTCAACGACCTGTCAAACACTAGCTGCCAGTGGGAAGTGCTCATTAATCTAAGCGGGTTGCGACATAGCCTTCCATCATGGACGCTATTTTTATTTGAAATAATAGTCGAATAATACGCGATAGAATTGCAGGACCATCTTTCTTTGATAACACTATTAATGGAGCAAGATACTTGCATTTTCTCCAGCATGAATTAATGCCAGTTATGTCATTTATTTCCAAATCCCTTGAACCCCAACTTGACCGTCGAGAAGCCACACTACGCTGTTATTGTTCGTCAATATCTGGACAGAATTTTTCCCAGTAGGTGGATTGGAAGACAAGGTACTATTGAGTGGCCAGCAAGGTCTCCGGCCCTTACACCGCTGGATTTCTTTTTATGGGGACATCTCAAAAGTAAAGTCTACATTCAAAAACCCAACAACATAGCAGACCTACAGGAAAGGATAAGAGAGGAAATCTTGCGTAACGTAAGAGACGAAACATACCACCGACTGGGATGCTGCCAAGAAGTCAATGGTGCACATTTTGAACATTTGTTACATTGAAAATAAAATAAACTTTTAAATTACGTTTTGATTTTATGCAACCTCCAAACGCACTAGAAACTAAAATTTGATAAGTACGCTGGATTCCTCGTTCCATCAGCTTTGCAATGAAGGGTCACAAGCTATAGGGTTTCATTTGAAAAAAAAAAAAAAAAACATGTTGAGGGTGGTTTCAGCTACCCCCGAAGGGCTATATTTTTCAAATTGTTTGCAAAATGTAGGTAAATATATTAAAACGTTGACGTGTCTCGAGAAATTTTAGGAAAATTATTCACCTTCCCGCTAGCGAATTTATTCCAGTTAAGGTCTCCACCCTGTATAATTATCTATATAATCGACCCTGTCAAATCACCAGGCCTACAGGATTGCCATTACCCACTTGCAACCATTTTGTTTGGAATGCCCCATATTAATGCAAACTTAAAAAAGTTTTACAGGTTAATTCCCAAGAGATCTCTAAATGTATCTGTAAGTTACAGAGTTACAAGTAGGGCATTATTTCAGAGTAGTGATGATTATAAGAGTGATTTAAAATGACGCAATTAAACTTTTTCTAGTTGATTTTTGACGTTTCTCTCTTTACAGGTAAATACAGAAGTGCGTTTAGAAACCTCGCACAGCACGTCTGGACCCTATTCTAATGTATGTGGTCAGACGCGCCATGCATGGTTTCTAAACGCACTTCTGATGATTTGTGAAATAAGCTATTAATAAAATGGAATGAAGCAGCAGATGTGAGCGTAAGGCTAGTATATTACTGAAAAATTATTGCACGGCCTTATTTTTTTTTAATTTAGTTTCTTGTACTCTTTTCATATGAAGATGTAACTTTATATTATTATTAAAGAAGTTATTGATTAAGAAGGGTCTTGTAATGTAATTAATACCTATTAACAGATACGACCTCTAAAGTGAACCAGATCTCATTTAAAAATAACAGAAAACGTGGCTAAATCCTATGCATTCTATCTACAGTACGTGAATCGTAAATATAATGAACGAGATTTAAATATTTTATGTCGAACACAATGAAAATATTTTTAAATTTTTTCATAAATCGGCAGGCTTGGCGACTACTATTTCGAATAAAAATAGAGTCCAAGATGGTAGGTTATGTCGCAAATCTCTTAGTTTTGTTTGACAGGTCGTTGGAATGCCTAATACTAGGACAAAAAAATGCCGGCTAATTTTTTTATCTGTCAGAAGCCAGAAATGCAATCGTGTCAGTTTATTTTAGCACCTAATAACTGTCATCCATCATGAGTGAAACATTTTTGTTTTGTTTGAAATCAATGTGCAAAATGTCAACACGTACGGTTACTTCAGATGTGTGCAAGTTCAACTCACAAGCCAATATTAGCGACGAATTGTCGATAAGCTCTACATAAGCGTCGATATTAAATAAAATAAATCAATGTCGAGCTTACCTGTCACTAAGTCTAAATACTGGTAAATTTTATTAAATTTACCTTCGTATTGGAGGCTGTGTTCGCGGTGTAGATAATGGCCGAACGCGTTCGGTGAATCGGGCGGCGTCGTGATACCCATCGTTCTGTTTTCCAAACCGGAACCGGACTCGCTCTCGTCCGATTCTTGAGGATTTTCGGCTTCAAGTTCGCGCTGACGTTGCAATTCCTGTTCTCCTCTTTCCACTTCATGTATGCCTGCAAAAAAATGTTATTAAACCTCAAATCCACCTTCTCGGCAAATATTTATTATTCTAACATACGGCGTTCCTTTAAGTTATAGACACTTAAAACAAGGCTAGAATCGTATACGTAAAGGTATCCAATGACAGCTCAGCTAAGCATGCGCAACAACTATTTTTCGTACGTATTTATTTATATGCGTACGCCTAATACGTATTTGTATCGAGACGAGCAATCATTTAGGGAGTATCCGATCATAGCCGATTTATTATGTGTGTGTGATTGGATTTTATGACTGCGGATACAATCCATTTATTAATCCGATTTATTAAAATTAATGACGAATTTGTACTTTTCACAGAACTGTGTGCTTTTTACCTAATAAATGTATCCTTCAAAGTTAATGCTATAAAAAATACTAAATATCTAGGAGTGATTATTGATATTCATCTTAAATGGGATATTTATATAAAATTTGTAATAAAAAAATTACAATCAATTTTATATAAATTTAAGTACCTGAATAAATACCTCCCATTAAAAGCAATGAAAATACTATATTTTGCATTGGTTGAAAGTCATCTGCGGTATGGAATAGTGGTCTGGGGAAGTGCACTTAGAGTACACATTAATCCACTTGAAATTATACAAAAACGATTTTTGAAATTTATTTTATCCAAAAATAGAAGGTATTCTTCTGACATGTTATTCAAAGAAAGTCACATTTTGGATCTACGCCAACTATTTTACCTAGTAGTGAATACAAAATTTCATTTCTCTACCGATAAATATACCTTACTACATACCTACAACACAAGACAGAAAAATAACACAATTCCACCCACTGTAAAAAAATCTTTATCACAACGATCATATTCATACTTGTCAAATAAAATTTATAATTATGTTCCTTCTCATTTAAAAAATATAAAGAACAAAACTAGTTTTAAGAAGAAATTAAAATTTCACTTAGTACAATCGGATAGAAAAATAATATCCGAACTCATAGAAAAAAATTAAAAAAAAAAAATAAATAAATAAGAATATAGAACTTAAAAAAAAAAAATAACTTAGGTACACAAACTAATGTCACGATTTTGAAATATACTCTTCTTCTAAGATCCTTATTGTTTACCCCAATACTTACTCTGTTAACTTTATATGCCATTATTAATATTACAGTTTTAGAATTTTACCATAGTATTAAGAAATGTATTTATATTTTATTATGTATTATGTATTTCTGTCAAAACAAGTACATTTTTTACTTATCGACTCAACCACTTTATTTATTATGATTTATATGTTTAATTATTAGTATCTTGTATTTTATATATTATTTATGATAATTAAAGTTTTTTATTATTATTATTATTATTATGAGCCGAGCGATAGAAGCGAGCGAGGAGAGTAACAGACGAGTTCGATAAAGACACTTAGATGACGTGGTCCATACAGACTTTTACTGCCCACCGTAAATAATTATAATTAATAAAAAAGGAGATATTGACATTACATTTTAGTATGACAAAGTAAACAAACAGAAAAATAACAGCGAATAAAAAACAAATCAGTTAACTACTATTTCTGTCAGACGGACATAGCTATGTTGATAAATATTAGCGACAGAAAAAATATTTTATTTTTACAGTGAGATAGTGTTTGATTACTTCCGCAATTTGCTTTGGTAATGTATGGCTTTATTGACGGTTAGCGATATTAACGATACAAGTTTGGTTATGGCATGTTTAACAAATCCAGTTTGATTCTACAGAACGAGGATGGCGGCGAGACAAGTTCTACGGAATCAAAAGAGTTTCGTTGAGCCATAATCAATATTTAGTTAGGTTTTTAAGGCGAAATTTTTAGTACAACATAGATACCCAGATAACAATGTTCGGAAGAAAGTATTATAAATAAATATATACATTTTTCAGCATTTTTTTTTTTAAGTTTTGTGTATTCTACTCAAAAACGATGCCCTTTCATGAAAAATTTTACTGGTTTTTTTATGAAGAACAAACGCATATCGATTATTCGTTGTTATTATTATACATTTTTTGCCAAATTTCATATTTTTGCTGCTAGAGCGCGCAAAAAAATTGTATATATTTTGCGGTTTTTTGCATTTTACATAAAAACCACGAACTTTGGTAGAAAATTTCATTAGAGCAAAACATTTCCTATCGAACCTATAAATTATATTTTTCTGAAACCCATCGTTTCCGCCGCTACAGCGCATGCACTGAAAGTCGTTTTTGTGGAATTTAACTAAACATATTCATTTTCTTTATTTACGAGCAATACGAAAAATTAAAGAGGAAATTTCTAGTATGTGCTGTAGCGGTAGAAACGAGAGTTGTTTTATATGTTTGATAGGAAATTTTCCGATCTAATACTTTGCTCTGACGAAATTTTCCACCAAAGTGCGTAGTTTTCATGTAAAATGCGAAAAACCGCAAAATATATATTTGTTTTTTTTGCGCTCTTTAGCGGCAAAAATATCAACTTTGGCAAAAATATGAAGTTTGGAAAAAATGTATAGGGACATAATCGATAGAAAATCGTGAATTCTTCAAAAAAGGGCCAGTAAATTTTTTGAAGAAAATTTATCGTTTTTAAAGTTAAATACAAAACACTCGGAAAAAAAGTCGAAAAATGTATATTATAATACTTTCTTCCAATGGTTCTCATTTCTGCGCATAGTGAATTTTTTTCAAAAGATGTCAAAACCTTTATTGTTATCTGGGTCTCTATTCTGTACTAAAATTTTTCGTTTCAGGGTAATTTTTTGTCTAATTCTGTCTAATTTTACATACGTCGCTAAATATGAGTTTTAAAATTCAAAAACCCAATCATTATTTTCATCCGTAAATTGAACAATGTGAATGTAGTGCTCGTTGTTATGTAGCTGATTGTTTCTTCTTACAGATAAATGAATTGACATTTTTTCACAATCCCATTAAAAATTGCTTAAACTGATCGATTCAGAATTTAATTTTATTCGGTTTTCCATTAATTTCTTGTAAAAATATTAAATACCTATTTTATAAGCGAGAAAAATTCCGTACGCCTATGCATATCGGGTGGTTGAAAGAAAATCGGAAGATAAGGTTTTTGTTAAAATATTCAATTCACATTAGAGTTAGTATAGAGAAAGTAAAAGTTGAAAAGTCTTTTGGTAGGTAGAGAGGGGGTAAACGTCAAACCACGTCGGGCGGCTCCGAGAATTTCGCAGTAATGTTTACCTGCCAGTTTCGTTTCATAGAATAAGTAATTTTAAATTGTTATCGGCGGAACCGGACAATCGCATGTATTTATGGATTATAAATAATTATTAAACATGTATTATAATATTCAAATCATAATTTTACAAAATTTCAACAGCTATTCACAATTTATTAAACTATTTACTCGAAATTGTTATTAACATTTATAAAATAATTTTGTACGCCAATGTCAATTTATGTGAATAAAGTGGGAGAACTGGCAAAAGCATTTACAACTTTTACTTCTGTTCTATTACTGCATCTCGGTTCCGGAAAAAAATGGCTGTGATATACTTATTGACATTTGAATCTACTATAAAATGGATAAAATTTTCTATTTTTGCATCGTAGGTATGCAATAAATTAACCATTTTTTAATAATTATAATGTACTGGCTGACCCTTCGCTGGAATTTTACAAACCTCAATTATTTAACTGTTTTCGTTATTCGAGAGAAATTTTTTCATGCGATACCTGGCAAAATTTTTAAATAATTTTTATTAATTTCTATTAAATTAAAAGGAGGAAAGGGTGAAAGTTTGAATGGGGTATTGGTTTTTTAAAGGCAGGAACTTGAAAATTGGAATTGTAGCTACTCATCATAAGTATTGTGATGTTTGTTTATTTTAAACAACAGTTTATTTATTAATAATTTATTTAAACACTTATTTATTTTATAACACTATTAACTGTTCGCTATTTATCTTCACTCTCCATATAATAACTAACTCAGCGTTCACCTCCACCAATATTTATATACAAATTTAAAATTATGGTGAATGTTGTAGAATATTCTTCGCCAAAACTAGAAACATTATCACGTTTTACCTGGAAAAGTCTCGAAAGCACCTCCGCCATAGTCGTCACATAGGTTTGGTCTTAAGGGGTTTAATTATGTATAATAATCGGACAAGTTGAGCCTCAAAGGCCAAATAAGACAGAGAGGGACTTGGAAGGTTAGAGCATGACTAACTAATGAAATGGCTCACATTAACAGTATATAATGACGTATTTCAAAGTTTTTGGATTTTTACATTTTAAGAAGGGGATGGGAAGTATCGTAAAAATAAATAAAAATTATTAAAAAATAATGGAAAACAAATAAAATTTTAAAAATAAATAAAAATTATAAAAAATTAAAAAAAATTAATAAAAATTATAAAAAATTTCTCGCGAGTAACGAAAACTATTATTCACTTTTAATATTTGAGGTTTGAGAAATTCCTGCAAAGTGGGATAGGATCGGCTAGTAGAAAATAATATTAATTTATTCTCAACGAATTGTTGTAGTGTGTTTATACTGTTTGTTAAAGTTATTTAGATTTCAAGAAAGAGGGTTATTGTGTCGTGTATTGTGTTTGAATTATTTTATGCTGATTTGGAATGTAAAATAATGATCAAAACAACATTATTACTAGGTGAGTTTAACCAAATTATATTATTATAAACTAATATGCCCTTCTTTGATAAAAACTTTCAATAACAATGTATAATGAATTTTTCAAAACCAGTTTCATAATGTTCAATATTATGCAACTGGTTGCGTAAAGTAGATCATTTTGATTACAAAAAATGTCACTTTATATTGATGGTTAAAGTGCAAAAATTCGTAAGTCGATTTTGTGATGTATGCGTTTTTGATTGGAAAAGTTGTCAAATTGCAGATATTTTTAAGCTGCAAAAGTTTAAATGTTATATTTTTAGTTTTAATACTAATAATTTTACTTACGAGCTTTTGTATTTTTAAAATATTTATAATTTAATTATTTTTGGATTAAAGGTGGAAAAAGAAAAAAAAGGTCCTTTTTCTAAATATTTTAGTTCACTTGTTTTATTTGACATGTGTGAAAAATTGTGAAAATGATTAAATTTACAGTAAAAAACTCAAAAACGGTAGGTAAATTTCATATAATAATATTGTTACACAAAAAGCAATGAAGCTTTTTGCATAATCTGATAAATATTCAAAAATAATCTCAAAATATGAAGAAAAGTCAGCTTACTATAACTAATAATGTTTAAAGATGGTTTTCAACGTATTAAAAACAAAAGAAATATTATAATAACTGAAATATTTCCATTTAAATAACACGCAATATATTTTTTCTCCATTTAAAAATGCTATAACTTTTGAACCATTTGAGGTAGAAACTTTATCCAGGCATAATCTTGTAGCGCATTAAATTCTCTAAAAAAATACTCCGGAGTTGATTTTTTGACTCCAAAATTCATATACTTACGGGCTATGAAAGTTGATGAAAAACAACATGTTTAGTAAACATGTCTGTTTTTCATCACATCTACTTAGGGCCGGTATTTTCTGCCTCTGATTAAATACACGATTATAAAAGCACGTGGTTAATTTAACCGAATAATATAGCCATGATTACGCATTATTGAATACTTGACTACGATTTTAGTATCTATAATTAATTTTTGCTCACTCTCAATTTAAGACTTATGAAGCGCCTAAATAATGTATCCAATATAGATTTTCTAAGTTAAACGGTTGCAGATATTCATTTTTTTTTTCGAAATTTATGGCCTTTGGGCCCCCGTAACTTTTCAGGGGTACAACTCGGTATACAGGTAAGTTGCGTTAAATCATCATATACCATCATGTGTCGGTACTTATGTGAAACACCCTATATATGTCTCTAGAAAACCCATGACAAACTTTAAAAATATATTGGAATAAGCATTAAAATAAAATTATAAACATCTAATGTTTGTTCTAGTAATTATTGAGAACATTGGAGAACTACTGAATATTATATATTATGGTTTATTAAAAATTAATTACAAAACTTGGAACAAAACCAAATATACAGCAGAACATTGATACTTATTTCAGAAAATTCACTGTAACAATAAAAGATTATTGCATTTAGAGTAGTTTACTGTTATGGTTTATTATAGTTAATTGCGAAAAGAGACATTTTTAATTTTTAAGATTATTCTTCATTTTGCCTTTGTTATACTTATTTTCAAATTTTAATTCAAAACTGAACGTAAATAGTTCAACAAAAATTCATTATTGTTTATTTGAAATCGACATCATAAAACTAGGCATTTTGCGTGATACATATTTTTGCATACCACACAATAAAAGTTTTGTGAAATGCGGAAATCCTTGAAATATAATTAGAAGAAAAAAAAATGCATGACTGAATAGATAAATATACTTACCTAACAGTAGGCTGTAGTCCATTAAATGCAGTTTGGTTAGGAAATCGACGTCTGCAGAAAGGGTTTCCATCAGTTTTGACTTTGCTTCTTCTCCTATTGTAACCTGTTGCCAAAATATTAAACTTATTTGGTATACAGACATAAAAAGGCCAATATTATATTTACTTTAGTAACTCTTATTTTATTTCTTATCTAATATATTTGAAACAATGAGTTTCACATTGATAGAAGAGATAAATTAAGGATAAAGAGAATTTCAATTACAATTTATCATAACATTTTAAAAAATTATTAAAAACGCCAAATTAGTAAAACACAAATTAAAGCAGTCAATTATTAAAAAAGTAAACGTGACATGACAACACCGTAGCGCGAAACTCACCAATGAAATATCATTATATTTGGCATTATTTAAAAAAAATTGTAAAACATACTCAGACACGTCAATTTGTATTATGCGTTTTATGACATACAAAATTATGTTTTTTAATACCCTCCACGTGACAGTCACAATTTTTTTTAAATATCAAGATGGATGGTGAGGCACTTCATTGAAAAGGTAATTTTATGGGGAATTCAGCATTATGACAGTTCATTGCGTTATTATTTTAGCGTCCCCTAGCGGGATACCAAACTATTATGTATTATATAAAGTGTGTTACTTCATTAGGAAACTATAATTTAATTAATGATAACAATATCCTAACTTAATACAAAATTAAATTAAAATACTCTGAATTTCGCAAAGCTAATTTTTTAATCCGTCGATTATATATTGACATATCAATTGAATTTTTATGCATAATTTGAGACAATACCCAAACAACCATGCTTATTTTGGTATTAAAAAATTAGGTAAGATTATTAGCTGAATTAAAAAGGAAAAACACATACAATCTACATAATTCTGATTTTTATTAAAAACTAAATATATAATTTCCAAAAAAACGTGAAGAATTTGCAGCGAAACTTTTTTTTAATATATAAAAAATATTGTGCATTAAGCAAGAATTAAACCATAAATTCTAAGAATTGTGTTTAATTTAAAAGCTTTATTTGGATTTTGGTATAAATATAATAATTATGTAAATTATAAAGTAAATTGTTTAATCTAATAAAATTAAGTCAATGATTCATATGGGTTTAACCAATGGCAGTTTTTAAACAAAGGATCAACGCGACTAGACTAACATTACAAATTGCATTATTTATTACTATTATTTATAGATACTTTGAATTGACACAAAAGAATAAGTAGTATTAATGTTCGTTTATTATTATTTTTTTAATAAAGAGCTAAGTAATGCGAATTTTCTTTTACATGAGGTAAAAGAAAATATACCTGCGAAATTTATAAAAAAAAGTTAATATTATCATAGTGACTACTCTGTTTTTTACGCAAACTTTTCAGGGATCAATGCAAAATGAAATTCAGCTACATATTATATAATTATTTTCATTTATTGTTATCACATGTTTGGCACAGTGTCATAATTATGTCCACGGACGAGTATGGAGGAAAAATAAAAAAGGTCACAGAAAAGGACTACAATAGGTATAATATTAATATATACATACAGTTTGATTATATATAATATAAATACCTTTAATTTTTTTTAAGACTTTCTGCAAAAATGTTTGTAATGTATGTAAATAAAGATTTTGAACTTGGATTTCATGAACTAAATTTTCTTTTACATCATGTATACCTTCGAAATTTATTAAAAAAATAATATTACGCTATATATAACTAAATAAGGTGATGGTATTATAAGAAAAGCGTGGAGTTGGCAGTTATAATAAAATTTTAAGCTTGGGTAAGCGCTGTTTTACGTTCTAGACAAAATTTTTCCTGACTTTCACCACGTCTTCGGCGAACTATTCTTCGTCCATCATGGACCTATAAACAAAATCGAGACTCATCAATGAACTCAATTCGATTCTATTCTTGACACATTCTTGACACCATGCAATATCCAGAATGTATTTGGGTCAAAGGCAAGATGAGACGCGGTCGATAAGACTGCAAGCCAGAAGACCTGATCCTACGATCATCTGATCGTAGACAGAGTCGTTGTCCTGTAGTAGCCAAGCCATTTTGTGTCACAGACCTAGAGGTAGAAATCGGTATCTAAAGGCATTTACTCTTAAGATGCGTTCTTCACGGTCTGTAGTTCTTCGGGCAGCACCATTACCTCTTAGACGTTGTTGAATTTGCTCTGTGGTCCAGTCATTACAAACTGGAAGTATCGTAGATGCATTTCTACCAATCGTAGTGGCATTTACTCGGAACGAAATTCCAGCTTATATCAGCACTATAATCCTATACCGTTCAAATTCACTTCATTTATTAAAATTAGCGAGTCTTCTAACTGGAGGCATCAATGTTTTTAAAGCGAGTAAAAATCATTTTAAAATTCCTAATTATCGTATAGAATAAATGCAGCATCAGCTGTTTGTAAAAAATCTCGTAAGAAATACTTTCTACAACCGATCGGAACCAACTTTTCATCGTCATTTATTTTCAGAACATCGCCAAAATTTTGTTAAGATTTCTTATGTTTTACTGGGTGTTGCATTTTCAATGTCGCACAGTATATATGGTAGCATAGGCATAGTATTTAACAATGCCCCCTCGTATGTTTGGTATTGTGACTTTAATTTGTTGTGAAGATTATTTTGAAACCAACCTTTTTTATCAGACGCTTTGTGGCGAAAAAGACGTCACTTATTGACATGCGTTTTGAAGATTTGATTCATTTGATTTGAACAAAACATCCGGGATTAATCTATAGAAAATCTATGCCTATCATTATCAATAAATAAGGAAAATAAAAATTACACTTTAGATAACGGTAATACGTTAGTAATTAGTAAAAACCCAATTATAGTAACTTCTCACGGTCATTTTTTAATTTTAACTAACAATTTGTGCGTCATAGCCAAAAAGTTGATGGTTCATTAAAATCATATTTCTAAATATATGATAATAAGCGATAACGTAAAAAATGTTAACATTTTGTTTTTTTTTTATTCGGTTTTATAATGGAAGGCAATAAAATAAATATTACATAATTTAAGGCAATTTGGAAAATAAATAAATAAACAATTTCTTGGACACATTATATATTATGCAAAAAAAAAAATAAAAAAACTGAAATAGTGCCAACCCAGTACCATCAATTCACAGTAAATTATTTCAATTTACTTTTTTTAAAAACAGTTTAGGTACAGTCAAAACGTGGACCTACCGCATCAACAAAAGACATAAGCAAATAAATATTAACATTTCTTCTTCTTTATTATGATGTGAATAAATTACCTTTCATCAAACTAATTTAAATAAAGAGAAACTTAATGATTTAAAAATAAAAATGTTATTACATAATAAAAATTAATAACATAATTTAAACAAATCTTCAAACATTGCATGGTTTAATTTTGTTGTCAATATTTTCTAATTCATTTAAAAGGTTTCCATAATAATGTTTATAAAGATAAGTAGGCTCTGACGGAATAATATCAACAAGTAAAACTCATTGTCACTTACTCAAGAGTGCGTTTGATTACAAAAATGAAGTTATATCTAATGTATTTTAACTTTAATTTTGAAAATAACCTCATAGTAAAAATATAGTAATGATGACCTGGATCTAATACACCGGGTGAAACAAAAAGCACTTACCTTCATTTGTTCGTTAACAAAATCATTATCCTTCAGAGTCGGTAGCTCTTTTTCTCTTTCCTTTTCCGAGGCCTCTCTGTCCACTGTGGATCCCTTCAAATCGAACTTCCTGTGTGTGCTGAGATGATTCGAGAAAACATTTCTACTTACGACTATGTAGGTTTCTACATTATCGACAGTCAATCGATACATACCTAGATACTGCGGTAGAAGGGTTTTTCCGTGTCGTTCTACGATGTACTTCAGGAATAAGAATACTATTTAATAAGAGGAATAATTCTAATAAGCATCTTTAAATTTACCCACATGTAATTACTTAAAGATAGAAACGTCATTATAATGAATATCCAATAGAGGTGGGGGATATTTCACGAACTGTTACTTAATTATTTTGTTTTTGGTAAACTGATATTACTTACACATGTTCTATCGATTTCAGAAATGTTTTCCAGAAAAATATTAACATTATATAATTTTTCTCTGAACTGATGTCTCTTTCTTTAAGGATTTACACGTAGGTAATTATTTAAACATATCTTCAAAGTGTGAAAAAAGCCCAACAGGTCTGGATAGTCACGAAATACCAACCTCAGCAAAAATTCCGATTACTGAGACATAGGCGATGAAAAAGGCACCGAAGAGGCTGATCAGCTTGTCTTTCAGATGTCAGAAACATATTTCTAACATTTAGAAAGTGCAAAATTATGAAGTTTAATAGTACAAATCAAACAAATAAATTGATCCAAACATAAAATTTTCAGGTATGAAAAATTAAAACAATGTGTTTATGTATCTAAGTTTCTATGTTCTATCAAGCTCCTGTTCAATAGACTTAAGACAACACTATGTGGTTCTAATAACATTGATTGAAGAATGAAAATTAAAGCAACAGTAATTTACAAATTATTTAAGGCTGAATGGTACATCTTTTCAACATATCTGTAGAATCTGTTTGATTAGAGAAAAGTACAGAGGCATCATAGATGACGTTTGCCGATACCGTTTAGAAAAGATTAGCGTCCATTTATTTGTTTTGAAGGTTGCAGTTGTATCTGGAGGAGTTTGTTTTTAAAATATTTCCCATTTTTGAGTGTTTTAAGATGTTGGTTTCTTAATAAGGTAGTGTTGTATGTTTTAAAGACTGCCGACACATCTGTCACATCTGCTGCCGCATGAGAAAGAGCTAGATGGCTGCTAATTTGAGAGGTGATGGTTTGCGCGAGTTTTGTTTATCTGAGCTGCGAGCACATGTTTTATGAAGGAATCAGTAATTACGGCTGTTTTTTCTAGCTTTTTCAGGGGACAAAAGCCATAACTAAAACACGACATATCCTATCACCATTTCCCATTACCGATTTCCAAATAAAACCACAATCCCTTAATAATACCGAACAAGTAAGGAGTGAGGGCTGATATATTTCACAAACATTTTAGTCGAATGAATTATTGTGAGCGGATTTATCCACCTTGGTTCATGACCTGCACGAAAAGTCTAAGGACTCGGTAGTGTGAATATAATAATTTGATTTGACATGTAGATACTATTATTAATTGTAAATAAAAATTTCTAAAGTAAAATAAGTAATTACGGCTACGGCGCTTAGTTTACACTGCTGTCACACTTCAAAATAAATTGTGTACTTTATTGTAAATCGACTTCAACTATGAAAGTAGCAACGAGAAAATTATATTAAACTGATAATAACTGGCATTAAGAATGCAAATATACTTCCGTAATGTAATTTTGAAAGCCTTCTGTGCGTCTTAGAGCCTTATGTTAATTCCAAATTATAAACATAAACAATCCTAATAACAATACCACACTTTCTTATAATAATTTGACAATTACGTGTATGACACGGTGAATGTTTACAATTCGATTTTTGTAAACAAAATTTGTCTAGTAGTTGTTCGTCGTTTCTTTAAATTGACCTGCATGCGACACATAAATACTTATTCTACTTAAATGTTTGATTAGACAATGTATAGAAAATTAATACTTACAGGGTGATAATGCTTCAAAAATGAATGCATTCTTTCGACTTCTTCTGAGGTTAGCGTTTTAATTATAAATATTTTATCATAGCTTAGATAAAATTTAGCACCACTTTTGCCCGATGAATCGTCAGGTAATGGCTGTGACCTAAATAAAATGCCAATGTCAATTCGTTTAAATAAATATTAATATAGTAAATCGGAGATACAAGAAATACAATTTGCCAAATAGGATTTTTTTTCGGAATCAACAATTTGTTTATTTCCGTATATTTTAATAATTTGTATTGTTATAGGTCATTTTAAATAAGTCGAAAACGTTTTTTAGCGTATTAAATTAGCTTTAAATAATCTCTATATACAAAGTGATCCAAAATTGTCGAGAAATACTTTCAATAAAGTGTTTAATGGACATATGTCCAAAATCGCTTATAAAAGATGCAAACCTCTAGAAACGGAATATCTTTTCAACGGGGTACCTAAGGTAATAAATTAAAATTTAAGATAGACTCCGATAATGCTATTGACGTATTCAATTTACTTAGAGTAGTTTTTAATGGACGAATAACCATTTTTTAGACTTATTTTAATTTAACTTTAAAGATGTATTACCCGCTACCAATGAAGATATAAGACACCAGTATTGTTATTTTCCGAAAATCTAAGGAGGAATTAAAAAAAAATAATAACTAAAATATCAAAAACAAAGTTGCGAGGATGGATTAAATGTTATTTTAGTAATTCTATATCTCAAAAATCGAAAAGACAGGGAAATTGTATTTAAAGACAACTTTTAAAAAATAAATAGATACGTGGGACAAAAAAAAATAATTTACAATAAAAAATTAAGAAAAGAAAAATGAGTGAAAAAGATAAATTTAATAACAAATAGTTTGGTTTTATATCCACTAGTTAGATAACATATTGGAGATATGTCGCTTAAATTGCGAGTAAGACAGAAAAAATAAGTCCACAGAGGTTACTTGATTCCTTTATTGTAAATTCTGCACATAGTTGACACTGGAGAATAAAAATGATGTCCGCGTGGGGATATAATATCTCGTTGTGTGCCGGGCTATTTAAACTGACAACGTTGATATCAGTTTCCTATTCGCACTAATGTTAACTCTCTATAGTTCTTGTTTTTTTTTGTTTTATGGCCTACGTGTACATACCTAATATGGAGGGTAGAAAAAAGGAGGACAATCTTATATGGATCTTTATATTAAAAAGTGGCCACCAAAATGTATACAATTAAGATGGCGCTCGTGTAGCCAGGGGACAAAATCCAATGCTATATAGTCATATAGATTGCTCATTCATAAGAATTATTTATTGTTTATATTATTATTTTTCAATAAAATTTGACTATTGTCGTGTATTGTCAAAATTTATCTACGATCACAGAACACTTACTCTTCTACGACCAGTCACTTTTCACGGTGTAGTTTTTAGTTTTTTATGGTTGAGCAATATTTATTACTATATACATCATTGGTGTCATTGTGTGATCTGAATTATCGACTGTCGACGTCCCCTGGGCACAGAAGCGCCATCTTAATTGTATACATTTTGAGGGACACTTTTTGTATACAGAGATTGTTCTCCTTTCCTCTACCCTCCATAATACCTAATAAACCAGTGTCAGTTTGTGTTTGTCTTCTTATTCATGTGTGTTCTGCGTAGGCTTTGTTACCGTTTCCCAGCGCCACTTCAGGAACAGCACTGTTACTAAGAACCGAACAGTGAATGGTTGCGTGGGGAATCTTACCTATGCTTTAGAATTATTACTTTTTTTTTTTAATTAAATACAAATTCCTGCGCACCCGTGAGATTCGATCCTGAGACCTTTCGATCTCAAAGTCATGACTCTAATCACTGAGCCAACCCACCCCAAGTTTTTACTTTGTAAAGTGTACGTTCGATAGCGACACTGTATTGTCGTCTCTGTAAAGTATTGAATCTTCCGCATAAATTTTTCTAGTGTAATATTATTACATGTAACATTTACAAATAAAATAAAGAGCAATGGTCCTAAATTTGATTCCTGAGGAACCCCCGAAGTAGCAAACTTAAATATTTGATTCTTACATTTTCTACATACATACATTAAGAATGGGACACGATTAAACGAAACATGCTTTGATAAAATTTTAATGGTTTTCGAAATAAATAAAGTTGAAAATTCAAAAAATATTAATGGCTATAATTTTTTTTATTTCTCAGTATAATTTTACTAAATTTGAAAAACATTTTTGGTGTCATAAGATACACCTATCAGCAAAACAATTGGTTAAATAAACTTTGGCAGTGGCGTACGGCATGAATAAATAACATCTTCATCCTCTCTAAATTTTACGCCACTGTCCAAAAACTTATTTGGACAATACTTTTACATTTTTAATGTTTTTTTTTTTTTTTAATAAATCATGTACTCTTGTTGGGAACTCATAAAGAGTGATTGGTTTTCGAAATATTCGCACCCAAAGGAGAATTTCTTTATTTTAATTTATTTTAAATGTTGTAATTTTCGATATTTTTATAAAATTATACAGATCAAACGTTTTTGATGTCATAAGATACACCAATCAGCAAAAAAATCCGTTAAATAAGCTTTTCCAGTGGCGTACGTCATGGGTAACACCTCATTTTACGTCACTATTCAAAAATTTATTTGGACTATAATTTTGAATCTTTTAAATGTTTTTTAAATTAATCATGTACTCTTGTTAAGAATTTATAAAAAAAATCAAAAATTACAAAATTAAAAAATAAACTTTAAATGAAAAAAATCCACCTGTGAGTGTGAATATCTCGAAAACCAATCACTTTATGAGTGCCCAACAAGAGTACATGATTTATTAAAAAAAAAAAACATCAAAAAACGTAAAAGTATAGCCCAAATAAGTTTTTGGACAGTGGCGTAAAATTTAGAGGGGATAAAGGTGTTACTGATCAATGCAGTACGCCACTGGCAAAGTTTATTTAACTGACTGTTTTGCTGATAAGTGTATCTTATGACACGAAAAATGTTTACCAAATTTAGTAAAATTATATTGAAAAATAAAAAAATATGATGTGTCCAACACATGACTTTCCTGTCTAGTTATTACAGGCTTTTTCCGGTTATTTTGCACAACCTTTTGTAACTCCCCTGTAAATGTTTAGAGGATGAACTAAATATATACATTTTCCACATACATCTTACTCGAAACATTTTTTTATATATGTTCATTGCCAACGAAAATACTGAAAAATTTTTCCATTACGGTCCTTTTTAGAGAAATCATGTATTAAACAAGAAGTAGAGAGATCGATATCGCAAACAACTTTTAGTTTAACAATTTTCTTAAAAATTGGAATTTTGCATTTTTTGTCAAATTTCTCGAATACGGATCATTTTAGGACAATTTTGTATGAGGTAAAAAGTATAGAGAATAATAATAGAAGTAACTTTTATTTAAAGAATTTTCTTCTCCAAACGTAAATAACATATATTCCATAAAAGAAGAAAATTACACCCTATAAAGTACCCCCAGATGTTCCGACTCTGCTAAAAATCTAATCAGTTCGCCGCATGCCGGAATAAAGCTTAAGTTTAAAATTTGGTGTTTTTCTTTGTATTTGTTCATGAGTTATCGAGTATACACACACACATCATCGCGAAAATAGACAAAACGGATTCAGGGGAACCCAAAACGTAAAAATCCGTCGAAAAAATCATAATTCCTATACTTTCCTTATCTGTATACAGACGGGAGAGTAAAAATTATAGTAATATTTGTTTCTACACCCTCACGGATATTAGCTTATCTACGCACAGATTACAAAACGAAAAAGTATGCTATTGCCTTCAATTGAACAAATATATTTCATATCCATTCTAGATTGTGAGAACACTGCAAAAAAATGAAATCCACCAATCACCGTTCATATTTTGATCAACCGAATGCTATTATTTTTAAAATTTTAATTAAGTGACAATTCTGTCAAACTAATTGTCAGTAATTTTTTAGTTATTGAGATCAAATACATTAAAATGGGTTATTATTGTGTAGAATAGTTAAACAATAGCATTTCTTTTTTTCCCTCTATAATTATAAATAATTTGTTAATTTAAATAAAACTATATGAAGTCAATTTAATTACCAGTATTAAAGCAACAAAAATAAAAGAATAGGTGGTCCTATGGTTAGCGTCCTTGCCTTCCACACTGAAGACTTGAGTTCGATTCTCGCATGGGGAAAAATTAAATTAACTTTTTTCTTTTTTTTTTTTTCGTTTATTTAATTTTAAAAATTATTAAGTCATAAATTATTTTAAAATTAGTTATTTTGTCTTAATAACCTAAAATATTTTTTTTATTTGTAAATTTTCATTAGTGGATCAGACGATTGAGCACTCTGCCTACGGGCGTCGTGCTCAAATTTCGTCTTCGTGCGATTTGGCCATTATGTCCACTCTTGTTGCACAAACTAATTTATCCAAGCATGTTTCGTTAAATCGTTAAATTTTTAATCAAAGAATCTTCAATTGTTTTGTGTCCCATTCTTAATGAGACTCCCTACATAGTATATTTGACAATCGCCTAGTTTCTAAATTTGTGTATCAGTAGGGCATACCTCGCCATTAAAAAAAGGTTCTGAAAGGTTCTGTGCCAGGCCTTGGTTCTTTCGAAATTTAACTTTAGTGAAGTAGTTTATGGACGGACCCTGTTTTGACTATTTCGACTTTAAAAGAATAAGGTGGATCAAAGTCTTGCCTTAGTCTGCTTATTTCATAAAATTATTATTTCTAAACAACTTACATGATAAAATAATTTTTTCTATGAATATTTATGTAACTCTCGTTTTAGTCATAGATTATTTATCAATATCCCGCCATTGAACTATTCAAGTGATCTTATTTTTTACTTATCAGATTTCGGCTGTATACATGTATACAACTCATTGCCTGGTAATATTAAACTTAAAACAGCGTCAGCTTCCAAATATCCTACTGAACTATCAAAGCAATCTTTTACTTATCAGATTTCTGCTGCATATAACTAATTGCCTGGAAATTTTAAAGTTAAAGATGCGTCAGCTTTTAAATATACCTTAAAATCGATGTTATTCTACTAAATGATTAAATTTAGGTATTTTGAAG